CCGCTAAGTGCTAAGCAGTAGTACAATTTTTAAACCGTCCAACTGTTTTTTCAGCCCTTCTAACCAATAGTCTTCCGCTTGAACATTCCATGAAACCCAAACAAGATGGGTCGAACGCTGGTTCTGACACGCATCCACGAGAACTAAGTCATTCGGAAAGACGTCTTCTGCTCTCAGGAAAAATGCAAAGGGTGCTGGATAAAGCTTGTCACGGGGACACGAAACGATTTCGAGAATGTAACTCCCTCCTTGATGATTTGGAACGATGCTGGGCTAAGGAGGATTCATTGGTGTGAAATGATTTCGCGTCGTGTTCTCACTTCCAGGTCTTTCAGTCAGTCCCGCGTCGTAGTTGTTTGTAATCCCGACTCGTTTTTCATGTAAATAGTTGTGTGGAGTTTATTATGCGTGTAGAACTTTGGCCACAGACTGATCTGTCTCCGAGATAGTAGTGGGGTGGAGTTCGCAGGTGGCTGGGTTAGGGCCTTTACATTCGGGGGTCAAGGTATTTTTAGTTAAGTGAGTGGGTATTGATTGATGTGGACGGTCTTGATACCGTTTGCTTGCAAAACGTGGTGTTAAGTTTGAAGTTACATGTTGTATTAGAGCAAAATTAGTAATAACTTGCATTGTTTATTCGAGCTAAATTCTTCATCGATGACCTTACGTGCTATATGGATTTTCGATGCCATGTGGTGTTAAGTTGCTAATTGGCGATAAGCGATTATCACCTTGACTGGTGATATAATCATAATTAAATAATTGGATACTGCTTTTTCAATACAAAGTCTAAATAAGTTGTGTGTGGACATTGTCAACTTTAATTGTTGTGCAATGTTTGATGACAGTACTGTTTGATGGGAATTGAAAAGTAATATCTTGTAGCTAAATGAGATTTTAATGTTGATCTAGTTACGCGTTTTTTTATTTTTTTAGCATAATAAGCACAGGGTTATTCAGCTTTGTCATTTCTGGAAGCAGGCAGAACCAAGGATCCATTCCGTACACATCTATGCAAACAATTCATTGGTGTTATGTCAAATCGCTTGCTCAAACGCATCTCATGTGTGCTCAGGAGGTCGTTCTATCAGTTTTCCACTATTTCGTCATACGGTGGCGTTGAAAGGAGCACACCTTGTGAAATTTTGCGCCAGCAAAATGAGAGCATTGATATCAAGTACCCTGACCTTCCCGAATCAGAGCGGTTTCATCGAAAATACGCCAATTTGGAAGAAATCGCCAAAAGTAGCCTATTAGTAAACTTACTTTGGTTGTTTAGCTGCTCCTGTGATGAAGTCTGTTCCCGTTGACGCGATATTTGCAAACCGAGAAGTCAGACTTAGCGAGTTGGATGTTTATGGCTTCGATTACGACTATACCCTTGTGAATTACACAAACGACCTTGCTGATTTTATCTTTGATAAGACTATTGACCTTCTTGTCTCGAAATGGAAGGTTTATTTGTTGGTTCCTGAAAAACTTTTCCTTGTAGTATCCAAGTGAACTTCAGGAGGTGAAATATGATCCCTCTTTCCTTATTCGAGGACTGCATTATGACATAAAAAAGGTAAAAAACGCTACTGTTTTGCTTTTTGTGTATCTATCTTTTTGAATCGTACAATTGTTAATGTTGGACGCTTCCAGGGCTTTATAATGAAAGTAGATGCATACCGGAACATTCAGCCTGGAACCGTATACAAAGGGTTAAAACCAGTTCCCGCTGAGGTAGTTCAGTCGAACTACAATGGACTCTATATCCCCGCTGGTTTACTCAGAGGTTCTGATTACACGAAGGTGAGGTGTTGCTTTGATGTATCCAAAGCTTCCCATTATCTAATCTCACATATCCTTCCATTCTCCGTGTTTCTTGAACCTGAGTGCTCATCAACTTCTCGTGCCTATGTTTACGCACCTACTTATGAGGGCCTTCAATGTTCAACATGTACGCATGCATACGTTTCGTGTGCTACAACTCCATCCATCCATCCAGCTTGTTCACCCACAGCCGTTTATCCACGTTATACTTGTCGATGAATCCGCTGATTCCCCTTTCATCTGCTTCTTTAGTTAGCTAGGTTCCCCATACCAAGTAAACAGATCATCCCAAAATTTTAGATACCTCATCCCACTCTCATTCCTGTCCATCCGCTCGACTAACTCGCCATTGAATTGTCTTTTTAGGATCATAAGATGACACAGATGATGGATTTCTTTGATCTCCCTGCTGCTTATGCCGTTTGCTCGGTGATTGAGGTGCGAAAAGCCCAATACTCTAACTCCAAATCCAGTTTTTTGCTTTAAGCTTTTCTTTCCATTTTAGCACTTTGAAAAGTCTGGTATTAACTATCAACCTGAGTGTATTTACACGGATGTGAGGGTATGTTTTGCTCGTAGACTACTCGCCTGTACCGCACATTATTTACATATTTTTTTGCGGCCTAGATTCAATTCGAAAGCTTTTGTATGCTATTGGTCAATTTTTGCTCCGACGCTTATTGGTCCGTGAATCTAATTGGTTGTAACAAAACGGGCATTATCAAATCCTGAATAGGCTTTCACATTGCGCTGAATATCTAATCGTAGATTTTGGTAATGCAAGATATCCATTTTAGGTCAAAACGTTTGTTAAGCCGTTCTAGCATCCATCTAAGTCAAATTCACCTGATCAGTTTTGTATGGCGCGAACAAACGGCCGAGAATAAATCACGACCATGCCATTCAGTTATGGACCAATTCCACGGCATTCCCCATTTATTATTTTTCAAAATCAACATAATTTTAGCATAAGTTTTGTGGAAGCGAAGTTGCGATGCCAGGTGTTCAAGCTGTTGGGTCTCACAATTTCCTTTCGGTGTAGTATGAGTGGTACAAGTGTGTGTAGTTTAGCTATTAAAATATGATTCTATAGTGAAAACTTCTGTATCCGTGGGTAAATGGCTCTATTACATAAAATGTATTCTCTTTGTTGTTCATCAAACAGGTGGTTGAGGCAATTAGTAGCAAAGGTAGGACATCTGCTTAATTACTATTTAAAATCCCTACTAATGCAAGTTTATTCCTTGAAGGAAGCCGTGGAACTTATTCACAGATCAGGAATGCTTCACAGTACCATATGCGACGACTTAGGTGTGTGCATGGTCCACCTAACTAGCTTAACAAATCCTCTTTTTGAAAGAAAAATATTTCATTCCCCATTATCCCTTCCAGAACGCTACGTAAAACCGAATGCGGAAATACGCCATCTACTGGTGCATCTTGCTTCGCATGCAAAGAGCCTCTTCCTTATTTCCAACAGCGGAGCTGATTTCATGTAATATTTTGCCTGTCGTGCTCTACTGAATTAGCAGTAGTACATGCAAGATACAGTACTCATTCCAACTCTAGGAGATCGTAAATAACACATTTTCTTGGGTGCTTGGCGCAGACCGGTTGAACTGAGGCTATCTCATCGACTAGATTTGTTTCTATTATTTTTATTCTGAATTTTAGAACCAAAGGCATGCGGTACGTGGTTGGAAGGGAGTGGGAGCGATTCTTCGATGTCATCATTGTAAAGGCAAACAAACCCGACTTCTTTCGCTCCAATTCGGCGTAGGTTGCATTGTCACTATTGGCACTATGACTGTAGTTGCAGCTTTGTCATCGAAGCAAATAGACCGAGGGGTGTTCAACTTCAACGGAGTCTTGATTGGACCATAGACAGGCAAGCCTGACCTACATCCGAAGGTCGTGATTGGCTCACGTCAATGGCCCGTTCAGACGCTTCCCAGTCAATACCGAGGGGACCAATGGTACCGAATGTGTGCTTATGAAACAGACACTACTCAAGCAGCCAAGACATCAACACCCCTCACTGCAGGCTATTGAATAGTTGATGGCGTTTGTTGCGCTGTGAAGCCTGTCGAATGTTCTATAGCACCGCAAAATGGCACCACTTTTGAATTTAAAAGTCTTCTTTGTCGTAGTTGGAGGCCTTAACGAATTTAATGGACAATCCTGAACTCGCCTGGTGATTTTGTCCTTCACATTGGGATGTTGGATATTAACTGTTTTAGTGATCCATCCGTGCTGTAATGGATCAGTTGTATCAACATACCTTTCCTTGCGTGCGTCTCCAAAGTCGCTATGCTTGAACACCCCTCACGGTAAAGCATGAGAAACATGTGGTCCTCATCATGACCGTCATTTACCCATAGCGGATGCAATAGCTTCTACTGTTACATTACTTGACTGTCATGCTCTCTTTAGTTGAAGTAGCCACTTGTTGGATGTATGAAGCCTCACTAAATGATACAGTGGTAGCATGTCAAATCACTCTTTTGTTCCCTCTCTTTTGAAATCTTTTAGTCCATTTCGTGCTATCGATGAGACTGGAGCATTCAAGAGTTGGGAGGGCGTTACCAAACTTGAACGAGGTCAATTTTACCGCGGGGTACGTTTCCACCAAACATAAGGCGACTTTTTTGCCTTGCTTCACTGTCATTGCTACATTCCTTCTCCGCCTAGGGCAATCTCAATTTGCTGAAGGAGTTGAAAGGTTGGCAGTTACAACGCGTCCTCTACTTCGGTGATCATGTCTACTCCGATCTTGCGGTGAGTAATGAGTAGAGAACTGTGACAGTTCGATGGCGTAATCTGGAAATAAGAACGATGTAACCATGAGGAGTGTCGGACGCTAAAAAGGCAAGGGGGTACAAAGGAGGGCTGTTTAGTTAAGTAAATAGGCAAAGAGGAGGCCTAACAGGCAGTCAATACATCAGCTTACTTCACTCCTTTCCTTTTTGGTGTCAATTTAACAGTAAGTAAAAAATCCATAAATTATACATTCGCTCCTCTCACATCACGAAGGGTAATTGTAGTGGTTAAATCGCTTTCTCTCAGCCAATCATTGATCGGTTGCTATTTTCAAGGACGCCTCCAACCAATGGGGATGGGCAGCAGCGGCAGTCATTCCAGAGCTGGAAAATGAGCTCAGTTTGGCTAATACAGAGGATTACCAAAAAAATCTTCATCGCTTGGTGTTGTTGGAGGAACTGATTATCGAAAATCAAGTAAGTTTAACAGCACAACAATACAGTTTGTCCCATCTCCATCACATGGAGTTGAAGGCAATTACAAGAACTGGATCACGTCAAAAAGTAATTCAGGTGTAACAATTTCTACTTCACTCTCAACTGACTAATTGCTTAGGTGGTTGGTTAATTAGCACCCTTCTCTTACAGTACTGCAAGACAGCGGTGGGTCAGACCGTGCTCACGTCCTGGTGCAAGGAGCGGGATTATCTGCGACAAATCTCCAAGGCTTGTTTCAACCCTCGTTTCGGCAGTGTATTTCGATGCTTCCACAACTACTCCTACTTTGCACAACGTCTTGGCCTTTACGCATCGATGTACACGTCATCCGTGACAAACCTTCTCCACCATCCTATCAACCATATCTGCTATCCACGAAGAGCCCTTCTGCCACATGAACCGCATTAGGAGGCCGTGGAGGCAATAGAGGGTGTTGAAGAGTCATCGTTCTGAGTAATAACGCCACTAATAATGCGTGATGTCTTTCGGTTGTTAGTAAAATGTTGCTTTTCCTTAGTCTACGTCTTCTCACATAAACTGAGAGAGTGCCAGGACGACGGGCCTCTGAAAAAATGACAAGCCAAGAGTGAGAGGCGAGACATTCGAGTTGCCCTAGTAAGCACGAGTGCTTGGAAATCTGTTTTCTGCAAGGTTGTGGGAGAGCTCAAAGATCACTCACTCAGGTCAAATTCCATAATCATCGAATTACGTCTTCCAGGTGGTGCCGCCTAGGCGGCAAATAATGACAAGGCAAGGAAGAAGGTGGTTGGGCATACCAAAAGCGTTGTTTTGTGCAGACATTTTTTCAAAAGAGTGCTATGGAAGGTGAGTGCCAATGCTACCAGAGTTGCGTAGATGCGAGGCGAAGGACTCACACCTGATAGGATAAAACTACGATGGAAACATCAATGAAAGGGGTTAAAAGTGGGAGACACATTCTATCAATGTTTAGAAAGACTGAAGAACTGTTGAAGTGGCCAAAAGTGGATGAGAGACATCTGTTTTGCGAATTCACAAGACATCCAAAATCAATCAACGTACTTGCCCTTTCTACACTACAAACGTCTTTTACCCGTGAACCACTATTTCACTATCACATCCACACATCTGACCTGACAGCAGACAAGTGGATGATAGATGGAGGAAAGCTGCAGCTTTTCACAGAGGTGCAATTACCGCTGAGCTTATCAAATTGGTAAAAGGAGAGAGACGCAATTTGATGCACTGTAGTGACTCCTCAAACTTCAAGTGACACAAGACAAGTTTGAAGCGTGTGGTTGGGTGAAGCGTGGATCCCTCAAACCTTCTGGTTACCACACCGCTCCGCCTCGATTGTGCAATGGCTTGGACCGTCCAAATGAACGTGTAGGACTACGGATTCAGACAAATCAACAAGGCGAATTCACAGCCGATCCTTGCCGCGTGGCTGAGGGTGGCTTCTTTCGGTGCATGCAACAGTCTAGTCCACCTTTAATTTGCAATTTCACCTCCAAAAAATGCGTTTATCCCCTCCTGTCACCTAGGCCCCTTGTCCTCTGCTCGGAGGAGACGTTTCCTCGGACATTAATTTGGCCAACAGTGATCACGTGATTGTCAAATGGGAAGGTCGAGTGAAGGTGAGTCAGTGCATAACACCACTGACCACTACGACGGAGAGGAGTAAAAAGGAATGGAAGTAGTGCCTTCCTTCTTTATGCAATTAGAATCAACTACCGAACGTGCTTCTCTAACAGCACTCATGGAACAGGTGGCTTGGAATGTTCAAGAGACAATAAAATCCTTTTCTGACTGTTCGCTAAGAAAAAAAAACCTCTTTGGACAGAGCCACAGCCTTGTAGGAGTGAAGTGGCGATTGAGTCACTTCGCTTACTACAATACTGCAAACCTCGAAACAAAGTAGACATAAAATTCGAGGACACCAAGAAGGCCTTAGTGAAGCAAAGAGAGGAGAATCCGTCCTTTCAAACCAGCACAAAATTCTGTCCCCACAGCCAAAAAGTTTAATAAAAACACACAATTGTGAATGTCTACTTGGAGCAGAACCATGGTTGGATTCATACGTTGGCCCTCGGCACACATTCAAGGCCATCATCACCTCCATTTTTTGGCGCATTCCAGCACTTACAGGTAAAGCGAAGGAGTCAGAGCTCCTCTTCACCGCAAGTCACAAATCCATCCGGTTCTTCCGTGACCAACACAGCCAATTCGATCAAGACAATAGACAGACGTGGTCTAGTCATTACATTACAACGAATAATCGAGGCAGACGATGCAGTACGGTGGAAGAGATAAAACAGGCTGGATCCATACTCCATCCAATTATACACCTGGAACTCATCTTGCCTCGGTAAAAAACCTTGAGGCTTAAAGTATGAGGTGAAGAAAGTTATCACGACTACCATCTACTCAAGGCAACGCGTTTTCCTCACCTGCTTCCTTTCATGAGGTCTGTACGACATCCACTTGTTGAATCAGTACAATTGTTAATGTAACAACAGAGCAGGTTTTCGATGAGAAGATGGATGAGGTGGCAAATAAGCACATCACCAATTTACCCCACCGAATGGACTGACTTTAGGCATCGCAACCGACGAGGCTCACTCATTCAGGACGCATTCTAAACAATCTGCCGATCCCTCCATCAACTTCCTCCAGCCGTTCTGACAAGCCAGGTGTCTG